CAGACATTTCATGACCCAACTAGGTAACATCACCAGTGGTAGAAGGGAGTGGGGAGAGGAGGAGGAGGAAGAGAAAGAGGAGGACTGTGGGGTCCTTGGTGCTCTCTGACCTCGGCTGTTTCCTTGCAGACATTTCATGACCCAACTAGGTAACATCATCAGTGGTAGAAGGGAGTGGGGAGAGGAGGAGGAGGAGGAGGAAGAGAAAGAGGGGGACTGTGGGGTCCTTGGTGCTCTCTGACCTCGGTTGTTTTCTTCAGACATTTCATGACCCAACTAGGTAACATCACCAGTGGTAGAAGGGAGTGGGGAGAGGAGGAGGAGGAGGAAGAGAAAGAGGAGGACTGCGGGGTCCTTGGTGCTCTCTGACCTCGGTTGTTTTCCTGCAGACATTTCATGACCCAACTAGATAACATTATGAATGCAAGAGTAAGTAGGATTTGCTTCCTGTTTCTATATAGTGGCTTACCCTGCCAGTGTTGGTGGATTTGTGCTTTTCTCCTTGGTGGGAGAATGCCATACCCAATAGCCCTGATGATGTGACCTAATTTGGTTATGAAATGTCTACAAGAAAACCACCAAGCTCGGAGACCAGACTACAGAAGGATACCCGATAGGCAGAACCTGAAGTTCCAGATGTTCCATCATTTTCTGAGCCACTCTGCCATACTCTCTCATCAAAAGGGCAGAGTCGTGATATTGCGTGTGGGTGAGCAGGTTTTAGTTTAGTCGCAAAGTCCCATCCGTTTCTGGCTTCCCCCTGAGCATCCAACTTCTCCCTCTATTCTCAAAACCCAAAATACGACGATGTCTGTTGCCTCTAGGCCACACAGTTAACCGAAAGGCCCACCTGCGTGAAGAAAGACTACTCCAACTTCATGGCTTCCCTCAACCTGCGCAATCGCTATGCTGGAGAAGTGAGTAGAAGAGCCCTCAAGTTCCCCCTTCCTTTTAAAAGAAGAAATCCACCCCCCCCTTCTCAATTTGTATGCACGTGGGGGCATGTTTTAAAGGCGATTCGCGGTGGGTGCACAAATCTCCTTCTGTTGGAGGAAGTGTGCGCAATGCTTTCCACTTTCTGGTTTTCGGATTGGGTATATAGTCCTGAGATACTTATTTAGTACGTGGCATAACATACATGGATTTAGAACATGTATAAGCACTTCAGCTAAATTAAAAACACATTCAGATTAAATGTCTAGACCATCTAACCATTAAAGCCAGCTTCATTTATCTAAAAGAAGTCAGATACTGGTCTGGAATATGCCTTGAGTTTACAGTTAGTTATGATACGATTTACAGATATCTATCTATCTGTCTATCTATCTATCTATCCCTCTCTCTCTCACACACACACACACACACACTAATTTAATTTAATTTGGTAGAATCCCAAAACATCTGCAGCCACCCCCTTGAACGCCCGTTGGCATTGACCAAATCCCCAGTCAATTGCAAAAGGCATCTTAACTTAGAACAGCTTACATCCTGCGATGATACCTGTCACCCCACCCGCCGTCTACATCCGCCTGTGGACTCAGCAGGGGATTAAAAAATTCCACCTCCAGTTTAAAACATCTGGCCAACTATAACTAGAATAATAGAAGGTTGAATTTAAATAAATCTCTCTCTATAAAAAGGAAATACCAACTCACGCATCATCACAAAACCTCAAGAACTGTAAAGCCTACAAACTTGAAATTTGGCACATATGTTCTCCTTGGCTTCTAGAGGCTCACTAAGAAAAGATTTTTCGAAATGACCATCAGAGCCTTCGCATTTCCTATATTATTATTAACATGCTAAGGAGTTCCACTCCTCCTGCCCACCTGAAAAGAAATCTCCTCCAAACATAGGAGTTTCAGTTTCAAAGCAGCAATCAGCTTTAGTACAGAACAGTTGAGCTAAGCCACGCCCAGGCGCCTTGCTGTCTCCTTCTTGCTCATACAGCAAATATTCTTTCAGTTTCCAAACAGCCTTCAACTCCCTCACACACTGACAGGATGCTAGCCAGATGAATACCGATGGATGCTGGTAGGCAGAGGCAGAATTTTCCTCCTTTTTTTTCCTCCCCCAAAACTAATCCCAACCACACAGTTTCGTAGTCAAGCACGGGTATCCAGCTGGTAAATAAATAAATGACTTTTCTAAACAGGTTGCCGGGATGATTCAATACTGCAACGCCACCGGTCGGGCCTCCGACCTGAATAAACTCATGATCAAGCAGCTCAGCAACGCCCTGGAAGCCGGCCAAGCAGAGAACTATACCCAGGCGATGTTTAAGATGACCGCTTTGTTGATCAGCAGCAGAGGTAAGAAGAAAAAAATAAAATAAAAATCTTACGGGTTTATACAGCTGGTCCTCGACTTTCAACTATAATGGAGCCCCAAATTTCTCTCGCTAAGTAAGGCAGTTGAGTGAATCTGGCTTCCCCGTGGATTTTGAATGAATGAATGAATTCATTCTTTATTGGCCAAGTGTGATTAGACACACAAGGAATTTGTCTTGGTGCATGTGCTCTTAAGTGTACATAAAAAGAAAAGATACATTCACCATTTGCAGCTTCAAATGGTCACTAAAGGAACTGTTGTAAGTTGAGGACCACCTAGTATAAAACAGGTTATAATTATAAAAATATGAGTGTACGAGAGAGAGAAGGAGGGAGGGAGGTGATTAAGGATGAAATCAGAGCCCTGTCGCATCTCTCAGGCCATTCTTTGGTATTCTAATCACAATGGGGGCCAGAATTTTTGTTTCTAAATAAGGCAGTTGTAAAGCATGTCGTACCCTATTTTACGACCAAAGTCATCCAGTTAGTTTTCATGACTAAGGCAGGACTAGAACTCACTGTCTCCTGGTGATTGGCCCAAAGTCACCCAGCTGGCTTTCATGCCTAAGGTGGGACTAGAACTCATTGTCTCCTGGTGATTGTCCCAAAGTCATCCAGCTAGCTTTCATGCTTAAGGCAGGACTAGAACTCACCATCTCCTGGTGATTGGCCTAAAGTCACCCAGCTGGCTTTCATGCCTAAGGCGGGACTAGAACTCATTGTCTCCTGGTGATTGGCCTGAAGTCATCCAGCCAGCTTTCAGGGCTAAGGTGGAACTAGAACTCACTGTCTCCCAGTGATGAGCTAAGATCGCTCAACAGGCTTTCATGGCTAAATTACATGGACTTTTTTGGCCCCCAAGGAGCTGCAGAGAGTTATTTACAGATACAGTGAAAATACTACATCTTGTTAAAAACAAAGTGTCTCTGTAAATTTTTCAGACACCGATTCCCAGCTCTTACATCACCTCTGCTGGGGCCCTCTGCGTATGTTCAACGAACTGGTCATGCAGACTGCCCTTGCTTGCTGGGAATGGCTGCTGGCCGCCAAGAACGGCATAGAAGTCCCGGTAAGTTATAAGTTAATTTAGAATCAGTTTTCCCTGAAATGGTGTTTCTGGAACAAGCAATACGTTTTTAGCAAACATCCCCCAAATTAGTGAGGCTTGGTTTGCTGCGTTTACATCGTGGAATGATATTTGCTCTGTTTCTCTCCTTATCTTGCATTTATGTTTACATTTATACATATTTATGTGTATTTATTTGTATCCTGCCTTCATTATTTTCACAAATGACTCAAGGAAACAAAAATACCTAGTGCTTCGTCTTCCTCCTATTCCCCCCCTCACAATAACAACGCTGTAAGGTGGGTTTGGCTGAGAAAAGGAGACAGTCAACCAATCAGTTTTAATGTCTAAGGAGAAATTAGAACTCACTGTCTTCTGGTGATTGGCCCAAAAATCATCCAGTTGGGTTTCATGCCTAAGGCAGGACTAGAACTCACAGTCTCCTAGAGATTAGCCCAAAGTTACACAGCTGGTTTTTATGCCTAAGGCAGAACTAGAATTCACAATCTCCTAGTGATTCGCTCAAAATCACCAACCAGCTTATATGCCGCTGGACTAGAACTCACTGGCTCAAAGTCACCCAGGTGGCTTTTATGCCTAAGGTTGGACTAGAAATCACCGCCTCCTGGTTTCTAGCCGGGTGCTTTAACCACTAGAATAAACTGGCTCTTTAAGTGTATTTATAATAAACTTTAAAGTCTGCTGCACCCCAAAAATAGTAATGGTTTCGCTTCTCTTAGTTCATGAGAGAGATGGCTGGAGCTTGGCAAATGACCGTGGAGCACAAATTTGGGCTGTTTTCCACCGAGCAGAAAGAAGCCGACCCTTTAGCCGCCTCCGAAGAAAGCCAACCGAAACCGTGCCCACCGGAGGTCACCCCACATTACATCTGGATAGAAGCAAGTATCTTCCTCCCAAGTTTTGTTTTACTTTTTTTTTTTTACAGCAGAGGTCGATTAGAAGATGTAGCTAAGAGAGAGACTTTTACGGCCACCCTAAAACCAAAAGGGGAAAATATTTATTTATCTTCTGCTTTTGTTTGCTGCCTTTATTATTTTTACAAATAACTCGAGGCGGCGAACCTACACACTACTCCTTTCTCCAAAGCTACCCAGGTGGCCTTCATGATTAAGGTGGAACTAGAACTCACCTTCTCCTGGTGATTGGCCCAAGGTCACCCAGCTAGCTTTCAGGCCTAAGGCGGGACTAGAACTCACAGTCTCCTGGGGATCAACCCAAAGTCAGCCAGCTAGCTTTCATGCCCCAGTCAGGACTAGAACTCACAGTCTCCTATGGTTGGCCAAAAGTCACCCAGCCAGCTTACATGTTTAAGGCAGGACTAGAGCTCACCGTCTCCTGGTGATTGGCCCAAAGTCACCTAGCTTGCTTTCATGCCTAAGGTGGGACCAGAACTCACTGTCTCCTGATCTGTCGCCCAAAATCACCCAATCAGTCTTCATGCTTCAGACAGGACTAGAACTCACTGTCTCCTGATCTGTTGCCCAAAATCACCCAGTCAGTTTTCATGCTTCAGACAGGACTAGAACTCACTGTCTCCTGGTGATTGGCCCAAAGTCACCCAGTCAGCTTTTGTGCCTAAGGCAGGACTCGAACTCATCATCCCTTGCTTGCTAGCTAGCCTGGTGCCTTAACCTACTAGACCAAACTGGATTAATAGCTATTGAGGAATCTCACCTCCATCGACTGCCCTCATTCCCTTGGGAGTTGGCCCGTCACCATCCTGCAGGAAGTCAGCTTCGTAGCCCACATTGGCTTGTCAGACAGACAGATGTCTTAACTTTTGGTTTCTCTAATCTACAGTTCTTGGTGCAGAGGTTTGAAATCGCCAAGTACTGCAGTTCGGATCAAGTGGAGATTTTTGCCAGCTTACTCCAGCGTTCCCTGTCTTTGAATATCGGCGGATCGAAGGGGAGCATGAATCGCCACGTGGCGGCCATCGGACCCCGTTTTAAGTAAGTGAGATGCCCTGGATATGCCTTCATTTATTTATTTTTCCAGAGGTGGGAGCAGGCACGAAGAATATCAAAGAGAGTTTGGTTTTGAGCTTACCTGTCGGATTGGCAGAGATCTGGTTTTCTCAGGTCCTCGCGGTTGTCCCCTCTTCATTTATTTATTTTTTTTGGAAGAAAATATAACATCCCTATTTATTAATACCGTGTGATTTCCCTGTTTTTCCAAGCGGATGAAAAGGAGGCTCTTGATATTCCCCCCCTTGTACTTTTTGCTCATTGAAATAAGGTGGGATGGATCATGGCTTTTGTCGTTCTGCTGTTTCATTTTGTATTGCACAGATCTCTTCCTGTTTAACCCTTTTGCGTGTCCTGTCTAAAGGCCCTGATGGAATTATTTTGGACTTTTTTAGGCTCTTAACGCTGGGGCTGTCTCTGCTACATGCCGATGTCATCCCAAACGCAACAATTCGCAACGTCTTAAGAGAAAAAATCTATTCCACGGCTTTTGATTACTTCAGGTATTACCCTCCTCTTCCTCCTCCTTCTCTTTCTCTTCCTTCTCCTCTTTCTCCTTCTCCTCTTCCTCCTCTTCCTTCTCCTTCCCCTCCTTCTCTTTCTCCTTCTTCTCTTCCTTCTCCTCGTTCTCCTTCTCCCCCTCCTCCTCCTTTCCCTTCTCTCTCCTCCTCTTCTTCTTCCTCCCCCTTTCCTCCCCCTTCTCCCTCCTTCTCCTTCTCCATGGTGGAAGATAGTGAAGAGAAACTGAAGTCAAGCTCAGCTCAAGTCTTGGGTACTGGCTTAACATCTTTGCAGTTTTCTTGGCAAGATGTAGAAGTGATTTGCCACTGATTTCTTGCATGGTGATGTGGGGCGGGTTTTTTTTTTTTAAATAACCCAGCGTAATCTACAGTCTTCCTAAACTAGCCTCCCATCCAGATACTAACCGAGGCTGATCAACTAAAGTCAGCTAAACATGTCTTCCAACTCTCCCTAATGGATTTTTTAAAAAAAATCTCATAGACTATAGCTTGCTTCTTTGTCACGTCCCTCCAAGGCAGATTCCCCTGTGTTTGTTAAAAGGATCTTTTCACGCAAATGCGGTTGATTTGGTTTCAGCACAGCACATCATCTCAGCCACCGAGATAATGCATATCCTGACGGAAAACATTAGATTATCGTGGCATGTTCATCAAGTTGAAGCTTAGAAGATTTACAGCTCTAGCTGGAAGTTCTATTTTATTCCTTCGTTTAAAATGTTTGTACAGCCATCCAATTCAACCAAGACAAGTTTGGCAGCAGCAAGAACAGAAAAGTTTCAGTGACCTACCTTAGGGGCCTCCATGGTCCCTTCCAATTCTATTCTCATTGATTGATTGATTGATTGATGTTTTACAACCTAACAAAAATGCAGAGAATCTACAAACTATCATGAAGCAATAAAAGGCCATCCCAAATAGTAATAGGACCCTTGACTGCAAATATATAAAATCTTCTGGTTACCCCAGGGATCAGATGAGGAAGGATCAGGGGAGCCCCAAAGCTGATTCATAGAACACCTGAGAAACGATGACTGCAAGGTGTGCATCGTCTTGCCCAAATGCCTCTCCTGTCCTAATGTTGTTTGCCTTCTCATTGAAGCTCCGCCCCCAAGTGTCCAACTCAAGGAGAGAAGCGGCTGCGCGAGGACATCATCATCCTCATCAAGTTTTGGACTGCAATGTTCTCCGACAAGAAATATTTAACCGCCAGCCAGCTTGTGCCTCCAGGTATGTGTTTCACAGAGTAGGAGAAGGGCAGGCAGAGCCAGGGGAGTTAAGTGAGTTCTCAGCCTAGAATCGTTACGTTCCCACAAATAGTCTTAAGCCCAACCCCTCTGGAACTCGTTTGTCCCTTGTTGTTTTGAGCTTTGAGGTCGTTAAAATGAGGACCGAGATCGTTGGGGGCAAGATGCTGATGCCCGGATTCCGGCAGTTCCCCCCCCCCCCATTTAAATCATGAGTCTCGAGCCAAACTTCCAAAACTTAAAAAGGATTTATTGGGAGTTAAACTGTCCAGCACTGCCTGGATGTAGCCGACTCTGAGGCACATCATTCATGGTCACCCTTGACCCTGGTTTTTCCCCCACCCCCTCTGGGTGTATCGTAATTCCTATTCTCCGATGGGACACATCCCTAGCCCAGAGTCATCAATCCTGCTCTCCAGTTAGAATTTTGCGCGGCAGAAACTTCAGTCACCTAGTTACTATCTCTGAAAACATTGACGGAATGCACTTTTGGTTTCCATGCTAATTCCCCCCCCCCTTCTGTTGGCAACTCCAAAAAGATCATAGAAATATTTTATGAATTGACAGCTGACTTTGTAAACCGCTTAGAGAAGGCCGTAAAGCACCGTGAAGCAGTATATAAGTGCAATTGCTAGTTGTATTGCTATCGATTGTCTGGCTTGGTGCCAATGGGATTTTTTTTTTTTCAAAAAACAAACAAACCTTCAGATAACCAAGACACCCGGAGCAATCTTGACATCACAGTGGGTTCCCGCCAGCAAGCCACCCAGGGATGGATCAACACCTACCCTTTATCCAGCGGCATGTCAACCATCTCCAAAAAATCAGGTGTGTCTTGCTGTATTTTAAGCAGCACTAAAACTCCTGTTTCATCCTCACAACAACCGGGGCAGGTAAATTTGTTGTCTGTGAATGCCTGGCCCCCGCTGGAGCCTTGAGCCTCTCCAGAACAGTGGAAAACAGACCACAGCAGTTTCTCTCTTGAGAGCCCTCATTTAGGCAAGACAAACCAAACGAACAGGTACAGTATAGGTGCTACCTTGCCGAATAGTCGTAACGGCAAGACAGATCTTGGAGCCCTAGTGCACAATCATTTCAATAGGAGCCAGACGTGTGCAGCAGCTGCCAACAAAAAAGCCAGCACAGTTCTGGGCTGCATCAACAGAGGGATAGAATCAAGATCACGTGAAGTGTTAATACCACTTTATAGTGCTTTGGTAAGGCCACCCTTGGAAATACGGCACCCAGTTTTGGTCACCGTGTTATAAAAAAGATGTCGAGACTCTCGAAAGACTGCAGAAAAGAGCAACAAAGACGACTAGGGGACTGGAGGCTAAAATATATAAAGAACGGTTGTGAGAATTGGGTTATGTCTAGTCTGATGAAGTACTAGGGGGTGACATGATAGCAGTCTTCCAATATTTGAGGGGCTGCCCCCAAAAAGAGGGAGTCAAGCTATTCTCCAAAGCACCTAAAGCCAAGACAAGAAGCAATGGGTGGAAACTAATCAAGGAGAGAAGCAACCTAGAACTCAGGATAAATTTCCTGACAATTAGAACAATTAATCAGTGGAACAACTTGCCTCCAGAAATTGCAAATGCTCCAGCACTGGAAGTTTTAAAGAAGAGATTGGATCATCATTTGTCTGAAGTGTTGTAGGGTTTCCTGCCTAGGCAGGGGGTTGGACTAGAAGACCTCCAAGGTGCCTTCCAACTCTGTTATTCTATATTCTGGGCTATATGTTACTGATCAACACACAGTCCTCAAAGAGTGGAAATAATAGTAAATAAGAACAAAGTATATATATATATATATATGTGCCTGTTTAAGAGAGAGAGCACCTGAAGGCAGGACTAGAAGTAATGGGAGGAAACTAACCAAGGCGAGAAACAACTTAGAACTAAGGAGACATTTTCTGATAATTAGAACAATTAAACAGTGGAACAACCTGCCTCCAGAAATTGCAAATGCTCCAGCACTGGAAGTTTTTAAAAAGATGTTGGATAACCATTTGTCTTTCTAAGGCATGTCCAAGAAGACGAATCGAGGCACTCAGCTCCACAAATACTACATGAAGAGGAGAACGCTGCTGCTCTCACTTCTGGTAAGTCTCTTCTCCCTAAACCGAACACAGACCCGGTTCCACGTGATTAGCGAAGCCTCGATTTTACAGGCTGCAGGTAGTCGTCGACTTACGACAGTTCATTTAGCGACCGTTCAAAGTCGCAGCGGCGCTGAAAAAGAAGGAAAAGAAAAAGTCGTTCAAATGGGGCAAAGCTCCCTTAACAGATGTTTTGCTCGGCGACGTGAATTTTGGTCTCCATGGTGGTCGTAAGCTGAGGACCACCTGTAATGCAAGAGGAAAGGGATGACAATGTATGTAATTCATGTAACTTATATCATTTCTTTGGCCCAAGAGTTGCCAACCCCTCCTATTTCCCCCTTCACATATTTCCCGCCCCCTTCTGAAACCATGACAATTATTTGGCCACATCTCTCACATCGCCAGAAACTGAACTTTGATAAGTCAAAACATTTCTTCTGCCCCAAATCCCTTTCCTTCCTTCCTTCCTTCCTTCCTTCCTTCCTTCCTTCCTTCCTTCCTTCCTTCCTTCCTTCCTTCCTTCTTTCTTTCTTTCTTTCTTTCTTTCTTTCTTTCTTTCTTTCTTTCTTTCTTTCTTTCTTTCTTTTTTTCTTTCTTTCCATGGATCCTGACCAATATTTGTTTGTTTTATCAAAGTCATTTCAGTACGAGTAGTTAATATGCCCAGAATTCTTTTCTTTCTTTCAAAGGCAACGGAGATTGAGCGCCTCATCACTTGGTATAATCCGCTTTCGTCTCCGGAACTGGAGCTGGACCAGACGGGTGAGAACAGCGTTGCCAACTGGCGATCCAAATACATCAGCCTGAGTGAGAAGCAGTGGAAGGATAATGTGAACCTGGCCTGGAGCATCTCCCCACATCTTGCAGTGCAGCTTCCCACCAGGTGGGCCCCTCGCCCTTCGTTACAAAATTAGCCACTTGGGTTCAGGTAGCCCTCGACGTACGGCCCACAGCTGATCCCAAAACATCCCAGTCAATATTTCAGTGTCGTTGTAACTTAAAATGGCTGCTAAATGAACAGTTCTCAGTTGGTCGTAAGTAGAGGACTACCCGTTTGTCTCCTGTGGGTTCCTTAGGTTTAAGAACACAGAAGCAATTGGGATGGAAGTCACCCGTCTGGTGCGCTTGGACCCCGGAGCCGTGAATGACGTGCCGGAAGCCATCAAGGTAGACCTCTGAAGATGATCCAGCCTTCACATCAGAACGGTGGCCTGAACCTTGATTCGGGTCTCGTTTCCAGAGATAAAATAGTCAGTTTGATTTGGCCTCAGTTAATCAGAGTGGGCAGAGCCATCCATTCATCATCATCTTATTTTGACAACCCCATAATCCCTTGCTGGATGGAGCCTGGACAACTGAATGGAGCTGAGTGTTTTACTGGCCGGATGCCCTTCCTGTCACCAATGCAGAGTTTTGTTCGGCAGTTATATTCTCAGTGTGCCCAGAGAGAGAAATATCCGCCTCTTAACTAGGATTGAACTCACAGCCTCCTCTCTCTTAGAGAGGGCTGGAAAGCACTGTGAAGTGCAGGGGTGGGATTCTACCAGTTCGCACCTATTCGCTAGAACCGCTGTTTACATTCTAAGCAGTTTGGAGAGTCGGTTGTTAGAAGAAATTCCTGGCCTAATCCTGTAAGGCAGGCAGGAAGGAAACATTCTGGTGTTGTTTACAGAAACTCTGTTAACCCTTATTACATTCTTGGCAGGACTAGACTTCCTATCTCAGGAACGTCTCTGGAGTTTTTTTCCCTTCCTTTACTGGTACTTTGCTTGTGTGGAGTGACCATTCAAAGTTACAATGGCCCTAAAAAAAAGGACTTATGACCATTTTTCACACTTAACGACTGTTGCAGCATCCCCACAGTCATGAGAGGCCAGGCGAGGCGAGGCGTGCCTCCATGTGAGTGATATTGAGTGGGCCACGCCCAGCCAATAACATGACCGCCAAGCCACGCCCACCCAGTCACATGACCGCCAAGCCACGCCTACCCCCTAAGCCACGCCCACAGAACCGGTTGTTGAAAAATTGAATCCCACTCCTGGTGAAGCGGTATATAAGTCTTAAGTGCTATTGCTATTGGGATTCACGTGTGTGTATGTGTGTGTGTGTGTGTGTGTCCTTGCTTTTCAGTATCTAGTTACTTGGCACACCATCGATGCTGATGCTCCAGAGCTCAGCCACATCCTGTGCTGGACTCCCACCGATCCACCAACGGGCCTCTCCTATTTCTCCAGCATGTACCCCCCTCATCCTTTGACAGCTCAGTACGGGGTAAAAGTGCTGCGGTCTTTCCCTCCGGTAAGTAAGTAAGTAAGTAAGTAAGTAAGTAAGTAAGTCGTTTCTCCCCCTCCCCCCAAAAAAGATCTTAGAATGTCTTTGCGCTGAAGTACTGCAGATCCTGGGTTCTCAAATGAAACACACACACATACACACACATTTTTCCCAACCTCAGTTTGGCAGGGCATGGCAGGGCAGCATTGCCGTATCTAAGGCGGTGTGTCAGCTCTGAGATTCAGCTGCCAAGAATGTTATAAGGAAAAAAAAGGGTGTGTGTGTGTGGAGGAGTTGGAAAGTTCAAGGCGATTTCGTAGGTCGCATTAAAAAAAAAATTCCAGCTGCCATTTATTTGGTTCTCGTGATTAATGGAAGCGTAAGAAGGGGGAGGAGAGAAGGTGGGTTTTGTGAAACGCACGCTGAAAATGACTATCAGTTTGGGAAATTCCATGGACATACCAGAGCTGTTCCTAGTAGATCAGTTGGGGAATTATACTTGTCTCGGAGTGATTGATTACCATGGACAATTTCTGGGTGCCTAACACAGTGATGTCTAACCTTTTCGTCTATGCCTGCACTCAGTGCAATGCGTGTGCGACCCCCCCCCCGCACATGCCCACACATCTCCTGAATTTGCCCCGCCCTCTACGCACGCATGGCAGATACCCAATCAGCTGGCTGGCATGCGCAGTGGAGCTGACCTGGGGCGACGGCTAGTGTGCTGGCAGAGATGGTTCTGTGTGCCACTTCTGGCACACATGCCAAAGGTTCGCCATCGCGGATCTAAGGGGTTGTCGCATAGAACAGGGGGATCAACCTATTTTCCAAAATACATGCAAGGAGGGAAGCAACTTGGAATTAAGGAGAAATTTCCTGACAGCCAGAACAATTGACCAGTGGAACTCCTTCCCTCCAGAAATTGTGAATGCTCCCAACACTGGAAGTTTTTAAAGAAGAGATTGGATAACCATTTGTCTGCTTGAGCAGGGGGTTGGACTAGAAGACCTCCAAGGTCCCTTTCAGTTCTATTCTGTTCTGATTGATTGATTGCTCGACGGATTGATTAATTGACAGATCGAAAATTTGGGTGCTTGGCAACCAGCCTGCAGTCCAAAATGCAGGTCTTTGCCTGTTGATGATGGAAGGAGACGCTCTTGAAGCTAGAATGCCGGTACTTTGAAAAAAAAGAAATCCTAACTCCTCTTTCTTTCTTCTCCCTTCCCTCCACCTCCCCCCAGGATGCTATTCTCTTTTACATTCCTCAGATTGTGCAGGCTCTTCGCTACGACAAGGTAAGGGCAGGGAAAGACTGTGAGACATTTGTTAAGCCAGGGGTGTTCTTGGTCAGATGAGTTTAGGGGCTGCCCGGCATCCGTTGGCCACCTGATCCTTTGTCACTGGAAGGTGCTGTGCATTGAACTTTTCCACGCAACGTCCTTACACTCGGGTGCTTTGGCATGCAGTCAATGTTCAGGTTAGGCCATTTGGATGGATGGATGGATGGATGGATGGATGGATGGGAGAACTTGAGACGAGAGAAAAAAATATATTCAGATACATATCTAGATCTAGGTAAAGATGATAAGAGATCTAGAGAGATAAATGATAGGTAAGTGGGTGGATGGAGAAAGAAAATAGAGATGGTTAGATGATGGATGGATGGATGGATGGATGGATAGATAGATAGATAGATAGATAGATAGATAGATAGATAGATAGATAGATAGATAGATA